TATACATCTTTCAACTACATTATTATAGACAAGCGCAGTCATCTGATTGGTTGTTTTTAGGTAGACAAACGCAGGCTTCTGATTGGTTGTTTCGGGATTCCTTGACAAATAGAGTTCTCTCTGCGAATCATATTTTGCCACGTTAACTTTGCTGTGATTGGTTGTTGACTCAGGCTTGTTCGTATTTTCTCACGGCCCATATTAGTGACCTAGACCTTAACGTAGATTAGTGCCAACCAATCGGCTAGCAGCCTGCTCTCACCACACTACTACTACTACTACTACTACTACTTCTACTACTACTACTACTAATAATAATAATAATAATAATCACTGTCACAGTACATCTGTAGTGAACAGGTGACCTTTATGGCAAAGTTTGTGATTTCACAGAGTATCAGGTGGCCTGCTTAAAACCTCGGCTACTGAAAAACCTCTATTGATATATTGCATATCATATCTCTTATTTAATTTGTTTAAATCTAGTAAAATACGACCTCTAACAATGTTGTCGACACTCTGGCGAGTATTTAAAACATCCACAACCTGCTGATTCGCGAGCTTATACTAAACATGTGAAAAACCATTATCCCCGACGGTATCTTATCCCAATACATGAGATGACAAACCCTGAGTGGCATCCTTGGTTCACAAAATGTACTCCTGAACATTTTATAATTGGCATTCAACCAAACGTCGCGTTTTTCTCGAAGGAGAAAAAGAGGAGATATCAGCATAGTAGACTGGTTTGCTTTTCAGGATAGATAGAACTATGTCACATGATCTACTGCCAATTAATCATTTATTTGAAGATTCTCGACGAAGGGAAATTATCATGCAATAAAGTTCGCTGAAAATTCTGTACATTTTATAAAGATTGTTCAGAATGAAGCTATTATTATTACATTATTGTTCTCTTGTGTTCCAAGCATAAAATAAAGCCTCAATAGCATATCTCCATATCACATTGTTCTCTACAACCTTTTCTAGTTGGCTAAACGATTGACTCCATAATCGTGTGAAGAGGAAATGAAAGCTTAGGCTTGAACCTTATTTGAGATTTTTTTAAATGACCCAAAGCAGTTTGCTTACAAATGCAATAGAAGCACATTAGATGTTTTCGCTGTACTCCACTACCATATTGCTTTGAGTCTCCTTTCAGACTACACTACTGCTTTTGACTGTATTCCTAGGACACTTCAATTGAGCAAGCTGATTTAAGCACACACTCAAGCCAGCTGGGTCACAAGGAGGCTGGCTGTTTTCTTATTTTTCGGGTAAAAACAACATACGCTTTTCAATACAATGCTAACGGAAACTGATGTGCCTCAAGTCACTTGCTGTACTGTCTCCATTCCTTTTTTCTTTCTTTTTGCACGACCTACTATATTCTTCCAAAGCTAACTTCATTAAATAAGCCGATGATCGAACCATTTCTGTCCCAGTAGTTTCTGCCTTGAATTGTTCTTATATGAAAAGATTCTTTTCTGAAGTTAAAAAATAGTCTCACTTGAATGGTCCTAAAGTGAATCCACCTAAACAGACCATATTGTTGATTTCAGTTTCAGACAGGCTGATTGATTCAGTCCTATTATTCCTGTTATATAAGCTGGACTGTGATAGGGAGTAAATTGAATATCTCTCATCTCGGCATTAGTTTATCTTCGAATCTCTTTTGTTGATCGTCTTATATCCTGTTGATTACTAATTTCTAATTTTTCGTTTGACTTGTTGAATAAAGAAGTTGAGACTTTCTGATGGCGTAAATTAACATCTCCTCTTACAATTTGTTAATTCATGTATTCTGCTCATTCTTCTTTATTGTTCACCATTATTCTTCCCTGAACTTCTCGAAAAGACTACGCCATATCACGTAGAACATTGAAGATTGTAAGCGGGCAGGGTTACTGGTGTGTCTCTGATTCAGCTAACTGACATTATTGTCAATACGCACTTCAGTTCTCGCAAGCAATTATTGGGCTAAAGTTATCTTGTCTGATATTGAGCATCCTCTTTATTCTGAAGTTTCTTCTTGTATCTCTTTGGGTAAAGCCAGAATCCCTACAAACTAACTCTTGAAAAAAGTGGATATCCCCATTGGTAAATCGTGAAACATTCGATACAGGGTAAAATATTTCATATCTTCGAGGCCGACCTCATCATAGACATAATCGATAAAATGAAGTCAATAGGAGTGAACTGATCTGACAGTTTATGTCTGACCGGAAGACCTATGTAGTTCCATATATAATTTCTATTTTGTTGAAGAGTAATGTCTACTGGGTCGTTATCAGAAACTATATGATGGCATGTGGTCTCTGACACCTAAATATCATGAATTCACGAATTATACTAACAAAAATTGATCCACAATGGAAAACTCAGGGAAGTCTTTAAAGTAAAGAGAGGAGTAACACAAGACTACCTACTATCACCGATGGCATTGCTAATTATGGTGGGCTGAATTAAGCGGCAGACTGTGGGGATGGAGAAGACAAGAATACATTCAACCGATAAGAACACTCCACAAGAACTGGATTTCACGGTCGACTTATGTCTAGTTCTACATAAATCTGAAGACTTACAGGCTGAGACCAACAAGTTGTCAGAAGAAGCAGCAAACACAGGACTTCAAGTGGACATACAGAAGACGCGGAGGTGACCGAGATAACGAACCAAAAACAGCAACAACAATCACCAGTCACTACAAATGGAGGAACTTTGATAAAGGTCACTCGCTTAACTTATCCTGTGTAGGAAGCATCGTTCCAACTATAGAAGGACGGCGCGGATGAAGATGTCAAAACCAGAATCAAAAATTCAAGACAAACATTCATCATTCTGAAATCAGCTCGAAAATCTTTTGCTTTCAGCATAAAGGACAAAAAATCGGACTTTCAGCATCAATGTTAGGTAAGTCAGTGGCTCTGTATGTATCAGAAACTTGGCAGGCACGTCACTAAAATCCTTCCCAACAGGTTACTGTAAACGTCTATGGACAGCTTCCTTCGCTGGCCAGCCAGAAACAATTAGCAGCAAAAAACTACATGGACAAACCAACCAAGAACTTATTTCTCAGCGAATATGACGAAGGAAATAGATGCGGATCGTACACTCACACACGCTGCGGAGGTACTTAAATGACTTCGCGTATCAGACAGAGTACTCGAGTATAACCCGAATGGGAAAAGACGAGATAGGTATATATCAAGAGGGTGACATGCAGGATATTGTGTAAGGAGGAGATGACAACCTCTAAGGCAATCATGGAGCCAGGTGGGGAGAACTGCAGAGGAGAGGAGAAAGTGGGGATGTTGAAGCCTTGTGTCCCACTCGAAGGCAAAGGGAGTAATAATAATACCGTCAGAGCTCAGCTAAATAATAATATATGACCGATATGTTAACTGATTGAATTAAAACAAGTTCGTATTTATACAAAGAAAAGATAGAATCAGGTTAGTATTGGTATTTATCAGTCGATGATTCAATGTTAGGATGCTCACTACGAAGCTAACTAGCCCAGAAAAGGGTGAAGGTTTGATGGATGGAACTAGTAATCCCATCCCATAAAATTAAAAATATCGCTAGTGAAGCTTAAAGCTTGAAATTCTACGTTACATTCGGCATGTAAGGAATGTATGTCATTCATATTTCATACTGTCAGCCGGATGAGAAACAACCAGTCAATGGATATATTAAGACCGTTGAAAACTTAACCGATGCTTCAATCAATGAATACATTGTTGTTCATTTGCTTTTAATAATAAGTAATATAAGAATATTACAGAATAAATTTGTAGGGCCAAGATTTTAATGCTGGATTACTCATTGGTATTTTTATGTCCTTTGAACTGGATGGTTTAACTTAAACGGCTTCATTGTTTTTCTAGACAACATCTTCAGCCTCGATTTCAGAATCAAGTGAGATTTTGAAATTTTCCATTGATAAAACAAACCTCTTTTCTGATGCTCATTGATTACTACTGATTGTCTCCGCAGATACTCTTATCGTTGCATTCATCTGAATTCGTACTGATTGTTTTGTCAAACTGACATTTGACCTATTGATTATACAAATTATTCTTTATTGTTCGATACATGTGATGTATGATCTATCACATATTTATGTGATCTGCCTGATACCATAAATGGTAATCAATAAAGCAAGCATAAATGCATAGTGTCATACACTACTAATTGGTTTATATGAATAGTTGGATGCCATTCATGTTAATTAGTAGTGCTTGTCAGCCAGATCGAGTTCAGGTGGCTGGCTGTCTAGTCAGAGTCAAACAGCATACACCACACTGATGAGGTCAATCCCAAACGAGCCGGACAGCCATCCAGTGTTTATATAACTTCGATCTTACTAGCGAACACCACCCCCATTCATTGATGTGAGTGGTATCCAACTCTTCATATCAGTCAATCGATATTATTCAGCATCAACTGAGAAAGCTTCATTCATTTTAAAGTTGGAACTGAATATGTTGTCTTGAAGGATGATGAAAGGTTTGCAGTGAAACCAGCCATAGTTCAGAGCTGAAAACACCCATCCAAGCCACAAATCTTCATCATTTCGGAGTTGTAGGCTTGAATTATGAGCTATCAATATATGGCGAAAGTATCAAATTGTAGATATAGACCAGATAAATAGAATTTCGATTCGAAAAAAGAAAAGACACTATGTGAAGCTAACTTTGAATGAGATGTCGAAATTAAACCAATATTATTCGTTAATGAGGTAATTTGAGTAACACAATGGGATTCGAACCATAAGGTCCAGAGGTCTACCAGCCGATTTTTGAGGGAATTTCACTTTTGATCATTTAAACAAAGGACAACTATTGAAACCGAAATCATTCAAAAATTAATCCACACACATCGAAGATTGTTTATAACTTAATACAAGACTAAACCAACGCACACTGGAAAAATGAATATTGAATATCTGAAAATTTGGAGGAAATTTATCTACACACACACACAGAATTACTTACCACTCGTTGTTTCACTAGCTCGCACAAGAAATGTTCCACGAATATTTCCTTTTAATAATAGAAGACGTTCAGAATCTTTTCGCGATATACTTCGGAAATACCAACTAAAAATATAAGTCAAAATAATATATATATATATATAAAGTTAGAAGACGTGTAAAATATACTATTGGTAATAGATTGACTTAATTTACACTGAAATCCCCGGTAAAGTTACACCATACCGGTGCATGGAATACAAAAGCACGACTGATAGTGAGGCGATCAAAAACCAGTGTGTTCTTCTTACTATAAATATGACGTTTTTTTTTTACAAGAGAACTACAGAAAATGATCATAAAACACATGAAATAGAATTTCTTTCACTGACATGAATTAAAAGTATCTCGCAAATACAGTGAGCAGTTCAAGGTGATTTTGAGCGAACAAAATTGTTTTTGACAAATTCTTCCCCAGACTCTAGAGTGACATAGGTCGAATTCAGCGAAATATATCTTTACACGCTCGTGAACATATTCCTGTTTGGCATGGGAAAAGTGTTACTAAATCAATAAACAGTGCTAGTTTGTCTCACCTAGTAGATAGTGAACACCACATCAAAATAGATGAGTCATTCACGGTTGTATATCGAGTGAGTACGAGATAATCGGCCTAAAGGCACACGATTACGTCTCTTAGCTATAGCGGAAGATGCTAAGATTATCAAGAAAAAATCTGACCTTTGTATGTGAAATAATCACATTCATCCTCTTTGTTTACCCTGGCCTACAATGAGGTAAGCAGGGACATAATCATCCATATTTTCATGTCATATTACACCCTCTTATTCCTTTTCACCTAGTTCACTTTACTCCACTATCTTTATTATGTAATTATTGTAATTTAAAGTCAGTTGGTTGATAGTGACTAGCTGTGGAATCCAGGATAAAGCGCATTTCGTCCTATTTAGGACTGGCTTTTCAGCTGGATGTACCTGCATTCCCCAGTGATTGATGGTGCTCTTACTGAGGCTCGAACCCAGGGCCCATAGTTTCAAATACCAAAGAGTTATCCATTATACCACTCGGGTCAAGACAACAATCTCTCTTGCAACCAGTCTTATTAATTATTTAATTCAGTTTAGATTTTCCCATCGATTGACTGGAGTGAAGTGCTAAGATTTTGTGTCTCTAGTACTTTATTGCAGTTCGCAATTTAAACTCCTTATTTTATCTTGTCAGCCTTTGCTTGAACTTAATTCCATTGTTCCCTATTTCTTTGGTATCTGTTTGTATGTATATTCTGGTAATCATTTTCCTCGCACACCATAGAATATAACTCACCCTACCGCACCCTGTCATATATGTCCCCTTCCCAACGAAGCGAAAAAATCAACACGAATATAATAAGCAAGTTCACTATGTAAACACACTGATCAAATCCAACAATATACACTTGGTTTTCTTATCTTTACCAATTCACCAGCTTGACAACAAAAAAAGACGACCCCAGACTGACGAACGATGATCAAGTTAGTAAACTTTGTTTTGATCTCATAGCAGATGTACTATTACCCTTGATATTTGGTTTAGTGATCTTCATTATTACTTTGACTTTCAATACGTCCTTTTAACTTGACCTAAGTCTATTTTCTCACCCCTAACTCTTTGTTATACATATGCTGAGTGGATTTTGTAAATTCCGGTTTAATAATACTTTGAGAAAGCTATTAACATCAAATAGCGAAACGTCAGTAAAAACAATCTCGTTTTGTTTTTCATTCATTGCGAAATACAAAAGCCTTTATTATAATGAACATTAGAATGTCACCTATTTGTCTGTTCTTATTTTCTGAATGACTGCACATTTTTATATTCGTTCGTTTGACAGTAATTAACGAGCTATCGCTCCATATTGTACAAGTACCCGAGTACAGACAGTTTCCGATAAAATTTTCATACGCCTTTAATGGCTATCTGTATTATAATATTAATGGATCTATAACTGTAGTAGAGAGCCTGTGGGAGGATTTGTCGAAAACAATTTTGTTTGCTCGAAATCCTCTGGTTCTGATTACACTATGGGGATTTTTAATTTACAATGAGCAGAATAAGTTTTTAAGCTAGACGATTGTCTATACATGTATTCATCGAAGTCACTGAAAATGAGTTCTTTTTGTGACCCATTTGTCTCTCTGATCCTGTTTTCCAGTCTTCTGCAAAAGACCTCGACTGAATAAGCATGAGTCTCAGTAAGAGGGGCGACAAAATTATCATGTGAATGATTCACTCGATGATGGATGTAACTCTATCTTTGGAGTCCAATAATGACAGATAGAAAGTATATTTGCCAACAACAGCTTCGACTTAGAAAAGACAATTCCTAGAAAGTAGTGAACTGATTATCTAACTTACCTTTACGAACAGTAATTCATTTCCTACGCTGTGTACAACCTAATACATATCCATCATTTGCTTCTGAACACCTCTGGATGTACATAGAGGTACTATAAGAAGACTTACGACTATGTGGTAACAACAACACTAACAACCCATTATCTAGACAGTACTTAAAAGTTAGATCTGGATGAAATTCGCACCGCTAATTCATAAATATCGTTCATAATGGAGCTATAATAATGGTAAGTTCTGTTATCCAACGACTAGTGTGCGTTAAAGTTCCATTGGTGAAGTTGCACTTTTCGATCACTGTACATTAATTTGTCCTAAATCCCTTTTCTGACAACAACCCAATAGCTTTCTTAATAATTAATACTTACATCCCATTGAGGTTTTGAACAACTCAACAACTAAAAATATTGTGTGACACTGTGATGCTAAAATATTCCGCATAGCATTCACGTATATTCTAAAACGCTTCACAAAATAATCTAATCAGTACATAGACACACTAGATCTTTCAACAAATACACATTACCCAATCTACCAGGAATCTTAATACGAATAAATTTTTAAAAACTTCAGGTGAATTGAAGTCAACTGATTATTAAAAAGTATCTTCTCCTTTTTTTGCTTTTCTTGCCTTCTGAGTGGAACATAGGGCTTCAAACCTTAAGCCCTGAAGTATCAGAGTATCGTGTGTTACTAATACGATTTAACAGTAGCGTATAAATGAACAGATACTCATCAGCATAAAAACACCAAATAGCAGAGAGATTGAATAGACGTCAGAAAAAGCAAATGATACAGCATTGCAGACGTACATGGCAGAGACGTGAAAGGAACACAAAGAAAGACAATATGAAGGAAGGTCAGAGGAGTAGCACAATACGGAATGTCTGTGCAAGTGGTGATTTGAAGATAAGGTGTACATCATTTCGCTATATAGAGATAACAAATTAACAGGTCTGTCGTCAGTACATTAGCAGTTGCGTTGTTTTTATGCGGTAGGATCTCTAGTCTTGCGTTCATTCTTCTCTCTTTTCCAGCCCAAATACCAGCTAGATATAGTTCAGGAGTGAGTCAAGTTGCAATCGAACTCGAACTTTCTGAGAATCACTGGTGAGGATCCTTCTATAGAACTAACTAGGGAAACACCATAGACAAGTTTGAAAGATATACACATAGTGAATAAACAAACTTTTTTGTCTTCCAGATCAACCAAAAAAATAAAATGCTGAATGTATTGAATTAATTCGCAAGTACTGGTTTTTGTGGGGATCGTGTTTGATTCGTTGAGGGATTTCATCATGAGGTGATATCATTTAGAGAATCAGTGGAAAACCTGGGAGTACTGGACAGCTGTTTCTTCCTAGTTTCTAACTCTTCACAGCACGAAACTGGACGAACCAGCTATCCAGTACTCCCAGGTTTTCCAATGGTTCTCTAATTAACGTCAGCTCATATTGATTTAAGTTAAAATTCTTTTGCTGATGTGAGGGTATAGAATACAAGTAAGTTGTTCAATTTTTCAGTCACCACTAGTTTTCTATTCACTATCGTTGTAAAACAACAAAAGTCAACTTACATCTACGAATAGTTCAGTTAATTAATGAAAGCAATTCACATTAAAATTGAGACTGCCTCAATTAATTTAAAACATTACTGAAAATTTTGGTTTTACTTCGACAAAAACTTAGTGGAATATCAGCTTGCAGCGGTAAATAATTCCCGAAATTTGTTAGACTAAAGCTTTATTCACTCAAAATTTGATTCTGGCTTACATTGTTTAAGTAGACTGATTAAACTTTAAGGTACATGGTCATCCATCCATGACACAGCGCGCTACCGTGTTACGTTTGGTCGTCTGTGCACTATCCCTAGCTACGTAAGGAAATCATTATCACACTACGATTCTGATCCCAAAATATATTTTTGACAATCAGTTTGGTGTTTTGATTTGTCCAAAATCTAAGCAGAACCAGTACTTTGTCAGCGATCCCCAAGGGACTAATGTCCCTTCTGACAGTCGAACCCGGGTCATCCAGTAATCCAGTCAGAGATGCTACTACTGAGCTATCTGGGTTCATGATTGATCTCCCGCGGGACTGTACTGGATACTTTGGTTTGACACTGTATAGTATAGTATAGTAACTAATACCATACGTCTAGTTCTTGATTTAATGCAGACTGAATTCTACCTGTCACAGTATCCATTCGAGTACTACAGGAGGTCAATCGTTTGCCTAGATAGCTTAGTGATAACATGTTTAACTGCAGCAGCAAAGAATGACTCAGGTGCGACATGAGTTTCTTGAAGATTACAGGTACACTTTTCTGATGGGTGCTCACAAGCACGAAACCTAGGTTAGCCAGCCAGGGCTTCCTGCTGATTGCCACCAACCATTTAAGAAAAATACAGAGTGGACAGTGATAGCGACCTATCTAGCCACAATACAGTCTTGATTGAATAGAATTCAATCTACCCTAATACCATGGACTTGGACGTATGAGATTAGTTGCTACCTAGTGTGTCAAATCAAAGACTAGAATTTATTATCAACATCAAAAATGTTAAAAATCAAATAAAACTAATATTCAGCCTTTGAAATATCAGTAAAAAGAATGATGAAATACAATCGACAAAGCTACTAAATTTGGAAGTAACTTAAAGTGTCTATCTGTTGTGATATGAGGTGAATATACAAAGCATATTATCTTTAGTC